GTTACTGAGGGACACAGAATTGTTACTGAGGGACACAGAATTGTTACTCAGGGACAGACACAGAATTGTTACTGAGGGATACAGAATTGTTACCGAGGGACACAGAATTGTTACTGAGGGACACAGAATTGTTACTCAGGGACAGACACAGAATTGTTACTGAGGGTTACAGAATTGTTACTCAGGGACACAGAATTGTTACTCAGGGACACATAATTGTTACTCAGGGACAGACACAGAATTGTTACTGAGGCACACAGAATTGTTACTGAGGGACACAGAATTGTTACTGAGGGACACAGAATTGTTACTCAGGGACAGACACAGAATTGTTACTCAGGGGGACACAGAATTGTTACTCAGGGACAGACACAGAATTGTTACTCAGGGACACAGAATTGTTACTGAGGGACACAGAATTGTTACTGAGGGACACAGAATTGTTACTCAGGGGACAGACACAGAATTGTTACTGAGGGACACAGAATTGTTACTGAGGGACACAGAATTGTTACTCAGGGACAGACACAGGATTGTTACTCAGGGACACAGAATTGTTACTCAGGGGGACAGGACACAGAATTGTTACTCAGGGACACAGAATTGTTACTCAGGGACAAGAATTGTTACTCAGGGACAAGAATTGTTACTCAGGGACACATAATCGCTGAATTAAAGAGTATGTCAGACAACATGCAGAGGAGTGGCAGAGGAGGCAATGTTTTAGGAGCGAGCAGACGTGGCAGCAGAGGAAGGGGTCGAGGCAGCACTAGTCGCAGCCAGAGGCCATTGCTCCCGGTGTCATCCAGCGGTCGTGTCTCCACCGACAACCCTGCCGTCATCGATTGGTTGGCTCGGTCATCTTCCTCTTCCCAGGTCACCTCTGACACCTACAGCCAACGGTCGGTGGGTACGTCAGACACAACCGTTAGTTGGCATGGCCCGGGAGCAAGCCCACTGAAATCACGTGTCCTCGACCTGCCCCTGTCCTTTGGTGTTCCCTCACCAAGCGAAGTATCGCATGCTGTGGGCTCAGCCCACTGTAAAGTGAGGAAGAGCTAACAGAGGGCGGTCAGGAACGGGGGGAGACATCCGCCTCTTCAGCAGCCAGGCGAAGAAGTAGTGGCGAGGAGAGTGGCTCGGTAGCCGGTCTAGAGACAGGTCTGTCTCCTGACCCACACGCAGCCGAGGGGGCTAGTAGTGAGGCGGAGACCCTAATTGATGATGATGAGGCTGATCGCACTTGGCAGCCTCGTCGTCATCAGGCTATTGCTTCCGCATCATCAGGAGAAGAGGGTGGCAGCTTGGCAGCGAGCAAAACAGTCGGTGGGTTGCCCAGGAGGCAGCAGGGTCGCAGCAGTGTCAGTGGAGGCAAACGGCCATGGAGTAGAGCACCAGCTCCACTGCAGCCTACCACCACGGCCAGTAGTGGTGCCGGTGTGTGCACGGAGGAAGTAGCAGTCAGCCAGTGAGGAGTATCGGGGGCAAAGTTTCCTACTCGGCGGTGTGGCAATTTTTCGTCAAGCCCCGAGGAAGTAAACGTAGCCGTATGTCGACTATGTGGCCAGAAAGTCAAGCGTGGCCAGGGGGCCCATGTTGGGACTACAGCGTTGCGGCAGCATATGCAGCGTCGCCATTTGGTGGCCTGGGAAAACCGTGATAAAGATACGGGGGTTCTGCCTGCCCCAGCCCCCGCTCCATCACCCGCTCCGTTACTTGCTCCGTCACCCGACGTCAATCGCCCTCTATCAGCCAGTCAAGGCTCCAACACCTCTGCTGAGGGGAGTTGTCGCTCGTTGGCATCTTCCGCTCGTTCAGATGCTCCTTCTCCTGCTTCCACCTCTTCACGGATTCCGTCAGCAGTCTTTCTTGGAATCCGTTTCCAAGAGACAACAGTTTGCGAGCACGCACCCGACGGTGCAAAAGCTGAACGTTCCTCCTGTCCAAGTTGCTGGTGCTGCAGTCCCTCCCTTTCCAAGTGGTGGACTCAGCACCTTTCCGAGAAATGATGGCTTGTGCCGCGCCGCGGTGGAGAGTGCCAAGCCGTCATTTCTTCGCCAAAAAGGCAGTGCCAGCCCTGCATTCACATGTAGAAGAGATGGTGGGCCAGTCTTTGAGCATGTCGGTCTCTGCCAAAGTGCACGGCAGTGCCGACGTGTGGAGCTGTAACTACGGTCAGGGACAGTACATGTCATTTACGGCCCACTGGGTGAACGTGGTGCCGGCACAGCCGCACTAGCAACTTGGACAGGTCACGCCGCTTTTGCCTCCACGTTTGCACGTCCTTGGTCCACAAAAGATGTCCGCCTCTACCACCTCTTCTTCCGCCGTGTCCTCAGCCGCCACCCCCGTGCCAAGTCCCATTACCCGACCGGCATATCACATGTGCAGGGCGCAACGGTGTCACGCTGTGCTGCACCTGGTATGCCTTGGCGAACGTAGTCACACAGGGGAGGAACTTCTCAGTGTAATGAACAGAGAAATCGACAGATGGCTGTCTCCGCGCAAACTGAAAATCGGAACCATGTTAACCGACAACGGAAAGAACATGGTGTCTGCTCTGCGTCAAGGAAGGTTGTGCCATGCGCCATGCATGGCTCACGTGTTCAATCTGGTTGTCAAGCGGTTCCTAAAATCCACCATCCCACTGCAAGACATCCTTAAAATGTCACGTAAACTTTGCATGCATTTCAGCCATTCCTACACCGCAAAGCACACCCTCCTTGAGCTGCAGCGGCAGAACGGAATTCCACAGCATCGCCTGATCTGCGACGTTGCAACAAGGTGGAATTCAACCCTACACATGTTAGACCGCCTTTACGAACAGCGAAAGGCCATCACCGATTTCCTGATGTTACAAGCGGATAAAGGTACTCCCTGTGTAACTTCGATGTCAGCCATTGGCAGCTCATGCGTGACACCTGCCGCTTGCTCAGGCCCTTTGAGGAGGCCACGCTATTCGTGAGTCGGCAGGACTATGGGATGAACGACGTCAATCCTCTGTTGCACGTCCTGGAACAAATGCTGTTAACAATGGCTGGTCAGGGTGCGGTAGACGTGGCGCACAGATCTCAACGCCACATGACCCCTGTGGGGGCAGGACAGGAAGAAGAGGAGGAGGTAGAGGAGGACATTTGTGCTCAGGAATTATTGAGTGAAATGGGTGGTTTTTCCACTCAGCGGACAGGAGTGGAGGAGCAGGAGCATCTGGTAGAGGAGGAGGAGGAGGAGACAGAGGACCCAGACGCACCGTGGCAGTATGCTGTGGAGATGGAGGCAGGGAGGGAGTCCCTCGCATTCCTTGGCACAAATGGCCCATAGCATGCTCGGTTGCTTGCGTAGCGACAGCCGAATAATAACCATCAGACAGAGGGATGACTTTTGGCTGTCCACCTTGTTGGACCCTCGCTACCGTTCAAAAATGGTGGCCTTTTTCACACCTGCTGAGAGGGAGGCCAAAATAACGTACTATAAAAACCACCTATGTAGTCAGTTGGTCTCTGCCTTTGTGCGCCAACGTCCATCCTCAGACACTGTGGGCCCTGTGCGCTCGCGTTCCGCTGCCATGGCAGCAGGGGAGGGGTGGGGTGGTAGGAGCAGTGGCAGCTCCACCAGCAGCGGCTGCCTCAGTCTGCAGTCGATGATGAGTAGCTTTTTTCACCAGCGCAGTGAGGAAACTACTAACCAGCCGCAGCAGCAGCAGCAGCATCAGGTGGACCTGGAGCAGGACCTCAAACAACAGGCTTGGGCCTACTTGGACAGCACCCTGCCAACCGAGGTAGACAATCCCCCTTGACTACTGGGCAACGAAACTTGACCTTGGCCCCAACTAGCTGAATTTGCCCTTGAAAGGCTGTCATGCCCGGCCAGTAGCGTGGCATCTGAGCGCGTGTTTAGTGCGGCAGGAGGTATTGTAACTCCGCGGAGGACACGACTGTCCACCCAAAGTGTGGAGAGACTCACGTTTGTGAAAATGAATCAGGCGTGGATTAGTCTGGATTTCAAACCACCAGTTCCTGACACAACTGACTAAATCCGCCATGAATCATGCCCCAAACATGTGCCACTTTCAGGTCTCCTCACACTGCTGGTGTGTTCCATTTTTTGTCATAGGGTGCTGGCAGATTACGGGCCTCCCATTGCTGCTGCCAGGCCCCTAATCTGCCATGGGCCCCTGTACCGCCTCTCATGCTGCTGCTGTCCAGAGTGCATGGGTCCACAGGGTCTCCCATGCCATGTGCCACTTTCAGGTCTCCTTTCACACTGCTGGTGTGTTCCATTTTTTGTCATAGGGTGCTGGCAGATTACGGGCCTCCCATTAGCTGCTGCCAGGCCCCTAATCTGCCATGGGCCCCTGTACCGCCTCCTCATGCTGCTGCCAGGTCCACAGTCTCTCATGGGTCCCTGTACGGCCTCCCATTGCTGCTGTCTCCATCGCCACACTCTGCCATGTGCCATTTCAGGTCTCCTCACACACTGCTGGTGTGTTCCATTTTTTGTCATAGGGTGCTGGCAGATTACGGGCCTCCCATAGCTGCTGCCAGGCCCCTAATCTGCCATGGGCCCCTGTACCGCCTCCTCATGCTGCTGCCAGGTCCAGAGTCTCTCATGGGTCCCTGTACGGCCTCCCATTGCTGCTGTCTCCATCGCCACACTCTGCCATGTGCCACTTTCAGGTCTCCTCACACTGCTGGTGTGTTCCATTTTTTGTCATAGGGTGCTGGCAGATTACGGGCCTCCCATAGCTGCTGCCAGGCCCCTAATCTGCCATGGGCCCCTGTACCGCCTCCTCATGCTGCTGCCAGGTCCAGAGTCTCTCATGGGTCCCTGTACGGCCTCCCATTGCTGCTGTCTCCATCGCCACACTCTGCCATGTGCCACTTTCAGGTCTCCTCACACTGCTGGTGTGTTCCATTTTTTGTCATAGGGTGCTGGAGATTACGGGCCTCCCATAGCTGCTGCCAGGCCCCTAATCTGCCATGGGCCCCTGTACCGCCTCCTCATGCTGCTGCCAGGTCCAGAGTCTCTCATGGGTCCCTGTACGGCCTCCCATTGCTGCTGTCTCCATCGCCACACTCTGCCATGTGCCACTTTCAGGTCTCCTCACACTGCTGGTGTGTTCCATTTTTTGTCATAGGGTGCTGGCAGATTACGGGCCTCCCATTGCTGCTGCCAGGCCCCTAATCTGCCATGGGCCCCTGTACCGCCTCCTCATGCTGCTGCCAGGTCCACTGCTGTCTCATGCCCATGTGCCATGTGCCACTTTCAGGTCTCCTCACACTGCTGGTGTGTTCCATTTTTTGTCATAGGGTGCTGGCAGATTACGGGCCTCCCATAGCTGCTGCCAGGCCCCTAATCTGCCATGGGCCCCTGTACCGCCTCCTCATGCTGCTGCCAGGTCCAGAGTCTCTCATGGGTCCCTGTACGGCCTCCCATTGCTGCTGCTGTCTCCATCGCCACACTCTGCCATGTGCCACTTTCAGGTCTCCTCACACACTGCTGGTGTGTTCCATTTTTTGTCATAGGGTGCTGGCAGATTACGGGCCTCCCATGCTGCTGCTGCTGCCAGGCCCCCTAATCTGCCATGGGCCCCTGTACGGCCTCCTCATGCTGCTCCCAGGTCCACACTCATGCCATGTGCCACTTTCAGGTCTCCTCACACTGCTGGTGTGTTCCATTTTTTGTCATAGGGTGCTGGCAGATTACGGGCCTCCCATAGCTGCTGCCAGGCCCCTAATCTGCCATGGGCCCCTGTACCGCCTCCTCATGCTGCTGCCAGGTCCACAGTCTCTCATGGGTCCCTGTACGACCTCCCATTGCTGCTGTCTCCATCGCCACACTCTGCCATGTGCCACTTTCAGGTCTCCTCACACACTGCTGGTGTGTTCCATTTTTTGTCATAGGGTGCTGGCAGATTACGGGCCTCCCATAGCTGCTGCCAGGCCCCTAATCTGCCATGGGCCCCTGTACCGCCTCCTCATGCTGCTGCCAGGTCCAGAGTCTCTCATGGGTCCCTGTACGGCCTCCCATTGCTGCTGTCTCCATCGCCACACTCTGCCATGTGCCACTTTCAGGTCTCCTCACATGCTGGTGTGTTCCATTTTTTTGTCATAGGGTGCTGGCAGATTACGGGCCTCCCATTGCTGCTGCCAGGCCCCTAATCTGCCATGGGCCCCTGTACCGCCTCCTCATGCTGCTGCCAGGTCCAGAGTCTCTCATGGGTCCCTGTACGGCCTCCCATTGCTGCTGTCTCCATCATCGCCACACTCTGCCATGTGCCACTTTCAGGTCTCCTCACACTGCTGGTGTGTTCCATTTTTTGTCATAGGGTGCTGGCAGATTACGGGCCTCCCATTGCTGCTGCCAGGCCCCTAATCTGCCATGGGCCCCTGTGTACTGCCTCCTCAGCTGCTGTTGGGTCAGGTCCACAGTGTCTCATGCCTCTGCCATGTGCCACTTTCAGGTCTCCTCACACTGCTGGTGTGTTCCATTTTTTGTCATAGGGTGCTGGCAGATTACGGGCCTCCCATAGCTGCTGCCAGGCCCCTAATCTGCCATGGGCCCCTGTACCGCCTCCTCATGCTGCTGCCAGGTCCACAGTCTCTCATGGGTCCCTGTACGGCCTCCCATTGCTGCTGTCTCCATCGCCACACTCTGCCATGTGCCACTTTCAGGTCTCCTCACACTGCTGGTGTGTTCCATTTTTTGTCATAGGGTGCTGGCAGATTACGGGCCTCCCATTGCTGCTGCCAGGCCCCTAATCTGCCATGGGCCCCTGTACCGCCTCCTATTGCTGCTGTCTGCCAGGTCCACACTCTGCCATGTGCCACTTTCAGGTCTCCTCACATGCTGGTGTGTTCCATTTTTTTGTCATAGGGTGCTGGCAGATTACGGGCCTCCCATTGCTGCTGCCAGGCCCTAATCTGCCATGGGCCCCTGTACCGCCCATCATGCTGCTGCTGCCAGGTCCATGGTGTCTCATGCCTTCTGTGCCTGCCATGTGCTTTCAGGTCTCCTCACACACTGCTGGTGTGTTCCATTTTTTGTCATAGGGTGCTGGCAGATTACGGGCCTCCCATAGCTGCTGCCAGGCCCCTAATCTGCCATGGGCCCCTGTACCGCTCCTCATGCTGCTGCAGGTCCAGTGTGCCATGGGTCCTGTACGGCCTCCCAGCTGTCTCCATCGCCACACTCTGCCATGTGCCACTTTCAGGTCTCCTCACACTGCTGGTGTGTTCCATTTTTTGTCATAGGGTGCTGGCAGATTACGGGCCTCCCATGCTGCCAGGCTGCCAGGCCATGGCCCCCCTAATCTGCCATGGGCCCCATGTACCTGTACGGCCTCATTGCTGCTGCCAGGTCCATCGCCACACTCATGCCATGTGCCACTTTCAGGTCTCCTCACACTGCTGGTGTGTTCCATTTTTTGTCATAGGGGTGCTGGCAGTTTACGGGCCTCCCATTGCTGCTGCCAGGCCCGTAATCTGCCATGGGCCCCTGTACCGCCTCCTCATGCTGCTGCCAGGTCCAGAGTGTCTCCATGGGTCCCTGTACGGCCTCCCATTGCTGCAGGGTCTCCATCGCCACACTCTGCCATGTGCCACTTTCAGGTCTCCTCACACTGCTGGTGTGTTCCATTTTTTGTCATAGGGTGCTGGCAGATTACGGGCCTCCATTGCTGCTGCCAGGCCCCTAATCTGCCATGGGCCCCTGTACCGCCTCCTCATGCTGCTGCCAGGTCCAGAGTCTCTCATGGGTCCCTGTACGGCCTCCCATTGCTGCTGTTCTCCCATCGCCACACTCTGCCATGTGCCACTTTCAGGTCTCCTCACACACTGCTGGTGTGTTCCATTTTTTGTCATAGGGTGCTGGCAGATTACGGGCCTCCCATAGCTGCTGCCAGGCCCCTAATCTGCCATGGGCCCCTGTACCGCCTCCTCATGCTGCTGCCAGGTCCACAGTCTGTCTCATGCCTGTGCCACTTTCAGGTCTCCTCACACTGTGTGGTGTGTTCCATTTTTTGTCATAGGGTGTGGCAGATTAACGGGCCTCCCATTGCTGCGTCCTCATGTCTGTGCCAAGTTCCCAGAGTCTCTCATGGCTTGTCCCTGTACGCCTCCACATTGCTTGCTGTCTCCCATCCGCCACACTCTGCCATGTGCCACTTTCAGGTCCCTACACACACTGCTGGTGTGTGTTGAATTTTTTGACATAGAGGTGCATGGCTAGACTTGTCCCCCCCCTCCCCCCCCCCCCCCCCCCCCCCACCCCCAATTCCTCCCATTGCTGCTGCCATGGCCCTAATCTGCCATGGGCCCCGTTACCGCCTCCCCTGTGCTGCCCGGTCCACAGTGTCTCATGGGTCCCCGAAACCCC